GAATACCTTTCCCTCAGTAACCTATCTTGGTATGATTGATTGTTTTGAGACAGTTTACTCTTCAGATGATCAACCACCTCTAGAGTGGATCAACATGTGCATCTTCCAACGCTTCGTGACCCTATTTGATTAGTACACTCCACCTCCCTTATCATACGAGTGGCTTACTCCATCGGAAAAGGCCATCAACCAGCACCCCGATCTCACCTTTCAGACAAGACCTTTCGAGCATCGGATAGAAATATTATGGCATGGTGCAATGACCACAAGACAAAGATATAAAGGGATAGATATTCAACCATCAAAGCTCCGTTCCCAGCATCACGCCCAGTCTTCACTAAAGGGAGATCCGACGTCTGCCACAACACTTCTGCCTCCCAAATTCAAATCTAACCTCTCTCTTCCCTCTGGGCCACAGTGGTGAGAGCCCTCCCCCACATCGCAAAGCTATGACTGCCGGACCACGTTGACATTCCCTTTATCTTAACGAGCTCGATCCTCATGCCCCAGTCGTAATCCACGTCACCAAGAACACAGTCCCAACAGCAAGAACTAGCCTGTAGACTTCTGTTCCCTTGGCTTTCGACTGATTCTATTGGGACTACTTCGTTCTCCTCTTTTTCCCGTCTCTTTTGTTCTCGTGCTTCTTCTCCCAGTTCGTTTTGGTCTCCTTTCTGACTGTTCGCCTCGCCTTCACTGTTCTCCTTGCGCTTTTCTCTCCTCCAGTCGGCCTCTACAAGTATTCAAGACATTCGCTGTGTTCCATTTGCTATTCATTTGCAGTAATGCATGTTGCTGACTTTTTAAGCCTTTGACCTTCTGAGACGTTTTTAGCTTTTCCCCATCATTTCTCCTGGTCGCCCATGATGTTCCCTAATTCCTCAGTTGTGAATTGGTCCTTCCATTTCAACTAATCTTACTGGACCAATACACCTTCAGCGCGGAAATAACTCTGAATATTCATGCCCCTGGAAATTCTCTTCAACGTCCCCCACTCAGCTCATCATACTGGAGCCCCTCCCAAATTAATATCTATAATGAGCTGATCCTCTTCCCGCCTTGTTCTCTGAACGGAATCCAGCTTCACTGATGGGCACTCGCATTCTTACCTCACATGCAGTACCATTCTGTTACAACCAATGGAAAAAGAAATTGACAGCCTTGAAGGCAATGGGACTTGGCATATCGTAAAGCGTTCTTCTTTGCCCTCACACTTAAAGGCTGTTCCTGGAACATGTGTGCAGCGAATTAAGAGGTTACCTGACGGACAATTTAATAAGTTCAATTCTAGATGGTGCTGCAGAGCAGACCTTCAGTCCTATGAGGGCGTCGCGTACTCTCCACTTGCTGGTTGGCCCACCGTTAGAGCCGGTCTCCTTCTTCCAGCTGCACATGGATGGGAAACGAGACAAGTTGATTTTAATATTGCTTTCTGTCAAAGCACTCCAGCATGTCGACCAGCAACTGTACATGTAATTGCCTTAGTACTATCGACCTAAAGGTTATGAAGGACAGAACTGTGTTTTGAAACTTGACAAGTCCATCTCTGGGCAGACCGATTCACCTAAATTATTTAATGAGCATCTATGTCGCGGGATCATCCAACTTGGTTTCGAACCCTCGGCAGCAGACCCATGTTGTTTATTCATAAGGAGCATCAACTCATGGTTTTAAATTATTGTGATGACCAAAACTGGCTCAGTCCAGACAATGATCTGATTTAGTCCTTTGTTGGGCAGCTCCAGAAGTTTGGATATGACCTCACCATGAAGAAAAAGGTGACATCTTTGTATTCCTCTGCATTAATTTTGAAAGACAGGAAGACAATGTTAAGCTTACTCAAAAAGGGCTCATAAATAAAGTCATCGAATACACTGGTATGTCTGACGCTAGCAGAACTCTCCCTGCTCGGACCAGTTATCATTTCGAAAGTGAAGCATCCTTTGATCTCCTTGCGAGCTCTGGCAGCTGACCAAAACTGGCGGCTCCCATACTGTATAGAAGAAAGTGGAGCTACATCCACGCTAGCAGTTGGGATGCCTTCTTTTATTTATCTCTGCCGCGCGGCGGATACCCGCGTCGCCCCCCAGACTTCACATTTAGTGTGCACCGGGTGGAACGATTCAGTCACGATCCCAGTCATTCCCATGATCAAGCAATAAAACGTATCATTCGGTATCTGGATTGGCACAAGTGACAAAGGCATTTGTTTTAGCCCTAAACTGATCAAGGACTTGACTGTTGGGTCGATGCTACGACTTCGCCCGATTGTATGGATATGAGGATGAACAGGATCCTGTGTCCGTCAGTCTCGCACTGATTTGTCCTGACTCTGTTGGGGTGCCTATTATCTGGTCCAGCAAGCTACAGACTGATATTACTTTGAGCTCCACTGCGCTGAGTATGTTGCCTTCAATTATTCAATGAGGGAGCTGCTTCCTATGCGAGCTTTGCTCAAAGAAATTGGTACAAACTGAATATGCCGGTAATACTGACAGTCTCGTGCGCTCTACATGTTCGAAGACAACCAAGTTTGCCTGTCTCTTGTGAATGTTCCCAAAATTCTGCGCGCAACAAGTATTGGCATTGAAGTACCACTTCTTCAGGTCCAATTCGGGGAGTCGAAGGGCATCGTGGCTAAGTTATTCCCGACTCTGGAACAACGGGCCGACATTTCACTAAGGGTCTTCCGGCTCCACAGTTTGCTGTCATTCGAAGCTCCTCATGGGATGGTAATTTACCTCAGCACTTTGCTGGGGATCTCTTCCTATCGTTCTTGCTCCCTTCATTTCAGCTGTAAGGGAGTGCGAGGGGATACAGCTTACAATTCAGCTTTACAGCTTTACAACTTAGCAGTTTATTCTAGAAAATAATAATAACTGCTCACTTATTTGGAAATACAAACTTTAAATCTCTTAGATGTTAGATTAATAAATCCACAATGGTATTGTCGCACCTTGGCTCTCCTCGCCGATCCCTTGGTCTTTCTTTGCTGATAGCTTCCTAGACAACTAATATCTTAGTCAGCAGTCATTTGTACATATTATATATATATATATATATATATATATATTATATGCGATTGATATATATATATATATATATCGAAGATAATCAATATATATATATCAATCGCAACAATTGAACTCACCGACCTCGTTGATGGTTGCTTCGATTGGCGGGATAGTAAGCTGTAGTGAATCATTTTATCATAGTGAAGTATTACGGTAAGGTTACCGGTGGCATAGACAGGATATTGGTAGCCTTGATATAGTTGTAGCGTCGTTCCGTCGTTCCATCGATTGTTAGATTGTGCATTCGGTCGACTCGTCACTCTGTTCTTCGGTCAACCATCACTCGTTGCTTCGCATTTCGATCGTCGCTAGTAATTCCTCGGCCCCTCCAACGACGATTGCTTAGAATGTCTGAAATTGTGGAAATACCAGAAAACACTAACTCAGCCGCATGTGGCTATCTCTGGCTGCAATTGTCTCCTGCTGCTCCAGTCTTCAGTGCCAACTGTTGCCAGTAGTAGTAGAGAAGAGTTCCCTGCCTTGGTTGCCTTGCCTTGGGAGAGACCTTGTCTGTGGCACAAACGCCCACAGTTTGAAACGATGGCAGAAAGAAGAGGCGAATCAAATGGAGTTTAATTCAGCTTCTGGCTCTCTCTGGCTGTAATCAGCCCCTGCTGCTCTAACCTTCAGCTGCAGATGTCTTCTATGGTAGTAGAGAAGAGAGCCATGCCTTGGTTGCCTTGGCAGAGACCTTCTTTGTGGCACAAAGAGCTGAGAATGGCAACACTGGGCGATTTTGTCTTAGAGTTTTTTCTGAGCGAGGAGCGATTTTTTGCTGCACTTTTTTTTTTAGTTGGCAAAGCTAATGAACAATCTTGGCAGGAACAACTGTACTAGCTAGTACTGTTTTAAATTATACCCCATACGAATTATTTAATTGCCTCTAGAAGTCATCTTCGGTCGGGATCCAAGAAAGTACGACATGTACTCTACTACTATTAGTAGAGTCTACTTAGTACCGGTATTTTGAAGCAACACTACATGTACATGTAGTACACGTCTATTTAATAGTTGCCCACGATGTTTTTTTTTAATTCTTTGCGAGATCGAAGAAACCCTTCAAGACAAACACCGCTTGCCGAGTACGTACAACTGTAATAGTCTAATGTCTACAGTAATGCTTCTTAGAAGACTAAGATTGTCTCAGATACCGGTATTTTAACACGTAGAGGTGTAGAGGTTCCAGGGACATGTAAATCTGCTTCTTTAGGAGAGTCGTCCTTTAAATCTTAGTGTATTTCAAAATCGAGTGCGACTGTTGGACTTCTAAAGGAGTTCAAGAAACACATCCCCGACTCCACAAGACATTCACAATCTCCAAGCGATCAATCGATGTTGTGCATTGTACCACTTGCTACTCCGCAGCACAAATGGGGAAGTTCTCATTTACTACTTAGTTTTAAGAAAACTGGCAACCTAACATCACCTAGTAGCATAAAGATCAGTCAGCCTTTACGCCTTGGCATTAAGGCAAATTGCAGTATCTATACCCTTACATTTAGAAATATTCGGTGCAAAATTGACCCCTTCTAGTAAACACCCAATATGACACTATCAACTACACTATCTCAACAAAGTAAGACAATGTCATTCAAAACAACATCATTGCTGACGAATACCATTCAACAACTAGGTCAATTGGTTGGATATTGACTGAGATCTGGTAACCAGCAGTTGGTGGCTTTTTGATCACAAAATCATCTTTCAGTCATGCTCCTAGGAACATTCAGGTGGAATTCCTCATTTGTTTCCAAAGTGATCCAGAGGTTTTCCCCATTTTTGTGGCTTTCCTCATTTTGGCTGGGGAGTAGCTTGGTTGGTACGGTATCGAGCAAGCAGTGACAAAAACAGGAGTCTCGTATCAAGGCGCCGAAAGCAAGGGCGCAAAAGAAGCACAACACAAAAGGGACCTTGTTTGCTCCAGCAATGGTGACACGAAAGCTGTCGTTCTTGCCCTTGGGCAAGGATAGCGGTGGAGCTGCTACTGCTGTGGACGAGACTACTACTACTACAACAACTGCTGATGATGGAAAGACACCAGGATTTCGTGTGTTCTCTTTCTTGCCCAAACAGGCGCATGGGGAGGCGCCATCGTCTCATTGGCATATTTTACCAGAGGCAACATCACCATCTCATGGCAATGGGCCGTCATTGGAGGAGGGAACTCTGACTGTCGCCGTTGGCGATCGCGCCCAACATTCTGTTGCACATTCCCTGCCCGGCGCATTTCCCGCGGGGGGAACCTCGTCAGCTTTTGGAGCTCAAATGGATATAGCAACTATTGTGGACGAGGAAGAACCCCCGGACAGCGCAACTCGAGCGAACTTGGATCTGAACCATGGGCTGGTGGAAGCCAGAGCCATTGGCGATGACGACGGCGGCAACCATCAAAACTTGATCCGAGCTCAAGAAGTAGTGGATCCAAGCGCCAGTGGAAAGCGGAATTCGCCTCCCTATCAATTGCTGCTAGGGATCGGGCTGCTGTTCGTGGCGGCGCTCGGCACCGTGGTGGGGCTCTATTATTGGGGAGTCAAGAAGAACAGCAATTCGTCATCCAAGGAGACAGCTGCCGTGACAATTGCACCTACAGTGTATGGATCCATGGAACCATCCACAGTACCATCCTTGGCTCCCTCGGGTGTGCTGGATCAGTTGATTGACAACCTTCCAGATTACACACTGGCAAATCTCAACAATGGTAGTGACACTCCACAATGGAAAGCATGGCAGTGGCTGGCCAATCATCAGAACATTACCAATCTACCAGAATGGAGAAAGACACAACTGTTTGCCCTAGCTACCTTTTTCTATTCCTTTGAAGGAGAAAATTGGATTCCTGTGGTGAAAGAACGGTGGATGGATGATACCAAGGAGGAATGCCTGTGGTTTTCCAGTGGATTCGGATTCTTTCAAGATGGCGTGTATCAACGTTTGGATAACTCGGTGCCTTCCTGCAATGAAATGGGCCAATTCTCCAATTTGAACCTTCGGGATCTGGAGTTGCCCGGGCTATCGCCTGTCATTCCACCAGAGATTCTTTTGCTCACGTCGTTGACGCGGATCATGATGGCCCGAAATAACATGGATGTACCGTTCTCGGATGTGGTACCATCGCAGTTACATCAGTTGACAAACTTTGCGGAACTCAACTTTGTAAACAACAACTTGCAGGGAACTATACCAACTGAATTGGCCTTGATTACGAGCATGAAGGAAATTCGCGTGGGGAGCATAACGGGGACAACATCCCTGTTTGGACCAATCCCAACGGAGCTGGGCATGATGACCGACTTGTCGGTTCTGTGGTTGACGAGGAGTCCACTACTAACTGGTACTCTTCCCAGTGAATTTGGATTGCTCACAGAAATGGAGGATCTGACTTTCAGCTCGAACTCCTTGTCGAGTTCCATTCCAACAGAAGTTGGATTGCTGACCAACGTGCTGTATTTCAACCTTTATGGCAACTTGCTAACCGGGTCATTGCCCAGCGAGTTGGGGTTGTTTTCCAACCTGAAAGGCCTGTTTCTCAGTCGCAACTACCTATCTGGAACACTTCCAAGCGAGCTTGGATTGTTGACTGACTTGGAACAGCTGTACCTTCGGGGGAATGACCTTTCGGGCAGCGTGCCATCTGAGCTTCAAATGCTCCTCCCTGACATATATGACCACGACTTGGCAGATTTGCCACTGCTCACAGGAGTGGACCCGTAGTGACGGAGGTCGCAACTGCAGAAAGTGCATGTAACGGTACATGTAGTGTATGGAAACGGATCAAGATTGCGGGCTATTGGAGCGGAGCAGTTCGAGAGAAAGCGAAGCGTACCGGTAGACGAGGAAGTAAATGATAGTATCTTTCTGATGTGTGTCATTGCCAGTCAGTAACAGTCCCACAACGACTACAGTGTAATCTTTCGGCAGATAGTGCTTTGTGGCTTTGATCCGAGCGCTGCTGGGGCTCGGTCTTGCAGGATCCGCTGCGAGTTGTGCTGGCTTTTAGACTTCTCGCCTACTAGTACTAGCCAGCGGTACCGGGTACACACTTTCGAAGGCGAATGAATGAATCTTAGGTTACTCGCCGGGACAAGCGTAGCCTTTTGGAAGGGAAAGAATGGTTCGGTCCTGGATCTTGGGTCCAAGTAAAACAATATTTCTAAATCCTTTATTCACCTTCTTGATGATGGCCGTAAGAACATTGAGATCTTGTCACAAAACAGAGACAAACAATTTCATTGTTTCTCTGGTCTCCTTTATGACTTCAGGATGCGGATGATGATGCTCGCAAGAAGATTGATTTTTCGTCACAACCTGGCAACATGGCCTCCAGTCTCGATCTGCGCTTCCCACAATTCCCACAACAATCCACAACCATCAACAAAGCCAAACGCTTCGCTCAGCTGTCTCCGTTACCAGGTATAGTCGTCCCTCTCTCCCTCTCTCTCTCTCATCCATCCATCCATCTTTCCCCAAGTTATCATAATAAAAGCTTAACAACTTGCAACCACCACCATGATCGATACTGCCTTTTTCCTCCAGTCCGGTGAGATTCAGGAATCCTTCCTCGCCGGCTCCAAAATCGCTGCGGCAATACTAACGACGCTGGTGGTGCTGGAAATCCTGTCCTATGATACGGTCATGGCACTGTACAAGAGGGACAAGAAACTCTATCTCGAAGGCCTGGCCATGAACTTTGTGAATCACATTGCCTTTGGTATTCCCATTTACGTCGCGTCGAGCCAGTTTCTGATGCGCAAGGACGAGACCCATGCCTCCGCTCTGGCGATTATCGCGCAGATTGTTGGAATTCTGTTGATTCACAGTATTTGCTTTTACGAACTGCACAAGACATTTCACACTGTACCCGGCTATTACAAGTACCACAAATTCCACCATCGCTATAACACGTACACTCCTCCCTCTGCTGCCAGCGCCGTGAGTGTGGTGGAGTATCTGGTGGCGTATATGGGTCCCTTTGCCGTGGCCGGTGCCATTATTCGTCCCTATATGACGGCCTTTCATGCGTCCATTTTGATTGTGGCCGCCGGCAACGTGTTGGAACACACTCCTTTTTTGGAAGATTGGTCGCAAAAGTACATGCCCGTCTTTTGGGTGACGACCCGTGATCACTTGGAACATCATCGCAAGTTGAATGTTCACTTTGCAGCTCCCACTTTTGATATTGATTGGGTTGTGGAGCGGTTCACAACAACCACTACTACCGGTACATGTAGTACGCCCTCGTCACCCAGCAGTCCAACCATCGAACCGGAACAAAAATAGTTGATGGATCCTGATGATGAAACAACATACCAACACCTACTTAGGATCATCCATTTGTTTAGATTAGGCGATTCCTTCATACTGCAATATCATGTATGAGCTCTTCTGCTTAAGCTTGAGCTCTGCAAATACTATCAGTATCCTTCATGGATCACCGTTCCACTCTACAGCCCATGGCAGAAGCTTATGTATTTTACCGGTAGACTTGACTTGAAGCAAGGTCCTTCGCACGATCCCTCACACCAGTCTTCAAGGGTTGTTTCATCGAGTTTTAAAATTACAACGGAGCAGTCTGGCTAGCTAAGGGTTGACCAACATGATGGTTCTTCAACATGTTTCGAATACATGCCATTTGTCATTGCACCAATAACATTGATATATTAGTGTCCATCAAAGAGACCCAGGGCAGCCATTGTCACGTAGCCACTGGATCACTTCACTTTGGCTATTCCTGCAGGCACCTCGATATGTCGAAAAACTCCATGGACAATCATTTGCACGAGCCCACTTCAAAACTTCCAAATGGCCATTCTGAGCAGCATAGGCACATGTATATTCATCCCATGGACAACCATTTTCTTGAGCCCACTTTAAAATTTCCAAATCGCCATTCTTAGCAGCATTGTAACATGTCGCTTCATCCCATGGACAACCATTTTCACGAGCCCACTTTAAAATTTCCAAATGCCCATTTAGCGCAGCATAGGCACATGTCCATAGATCCCATGGACAACCTCTCTCTCTTAACCATTGGAGTAATTCAAAATGTCCATTTCTAGCAGCACAGGCACATGTCTGATCATTCCATGGACAACCATTCTCTGTTAACCATTGGAGCACTTCCAGATGTCCATTTTCAGCAGCACGAGCACATGTCATTTCACCCCATGGACAACCATTTGAACGAGCCCACTTTAAAGTATCCAAATGGCCATACTGAGCAGCAAACATACAGGTCAAAAAACTCCATGGACAACCATTTGCACGAGCCCACTTTAAAACTTCCAAATGTCCATTTTCAGCAGCACCAGCACATGTCCGTTCATTCCATGGACAACCATTTGCACGAGCCCACTTTAAAATTTCCAAATGTCCATTTTTAGCAGCACTGGAGCATGTCCATAGATCCCATCGACAACCACTCTCTCTTAACCATTGGAGCAATTCCAAATGGCCATTTTTGGCAGCTTCAGCACATGTATTTGCATCCCATGAGAATCCTTGTTGTTGTGCCCATTTCATGACCATAATAGATCCAGTTTTGGCAATGGCAGTGCAAACATGATCACGATAAGGTGTCTTATTGTTGGAATTGTCCTTGAGCCAGTATTCTGCACGTTGCTGGGTACAGAATGCTTCACTGTACTGAGTATCAGTGCTTTCTGCAGCGCGCCTGGGAACATACTGTCAAAAGTTAGTCTTTACCATTCTTGGATTTTTCTTGAGTTCAAGTGTGCAGTACTCTTTGTACATTTGATTCATCTTTTTGTTGACAGCTCCTACAAACGCGTACTGTCCAACACCAACAAATGATAGAATGCCTTGGACCAAAATCAAATCATCAGCAAACAAAAGAGAATCGAAGGGAGGAGACATCTTCTGTTTCTTGTTGTTGGGTGAGCTGGTAGCAGCAGCAGCAGCAGCAGCAGTACTACCACCAATACCAGTAGCAATACTACAAGACATGATCAACAATCAGATTGGCAGATTGGCTATTAGTAGTCTAGCTAGAGAGTCGAGTCTACTGGCTATGCTGCAAGTAGTACCGTACCAGTACTAGCTAGTACTAGCAGTAGCCGACGTTGCAACGCAAGCGAATTGTCCTCGATAACTCATTGATTTTAGTCACGAGTCAAACAGGAATGATTTCAGCCACCCAAAGCCAAGGGAAGAGAAGAACGAAAAAATGAGGAAGAAGGAAAACTTTGCAAGACCACTGGCATCCCGTTTCACTCCTCCTTGGCAGCATAAAAAGGGCCAAAGACGAGCAGCTTGAGTAGCAACAGTCAAGAAAGGACCAGAAAGAGAAGAAGGGAAAGGATAAGTATCTAATCATGACAGTTGCATCGAAAGAGCACCAAGGAGAAGCAGAACTGGTTGTCCCAGAGAGGCAGCCTGCTACTTCTACTCATCAGAGTCGAAAGAAAAGTGGAGTGGCCGCCGATGCGTCTTTTTTGGAGACATTGGATCAGACGTCGTCTGTGTTGGATCTTCACCGAAGCAACTTGCTGCGTCTTCAGACTCAAGAATTGGTCGAGGAGTGTGCTCTAGTGGGTTCTAGTAAGCGACTTCCTTCTTGGACTGCCTTGGTGGGGCCCTTTGTCGATCAATTGACGTTGCTACTCGGCCAGGTTCAACTCCACAAAGTCAACAAGGAGACACTCGAGACTTGTCCGTTTGACATTCCATCTCTGCATGTACAAGCTGACAAACAGCAAAAGCTCCTGGAATCCTTCCACAACTTGAAAAAGAAGAATCAGCCATTGCAAGTCGACTCCTTTCAGCCTCCCACTACTGCTCAAGCCACGCAGGCATTGCAACTCATTGAGTCTTGCGATGCGCTTACCAAAGCCAGTGGCAATGCCAACGTCCTTCCCACCTTTTCCCTCACGGTCAAAATGCCAACCACACTGTGGGACCAAAAAGATTTTCGAAATGAAAAGTACTTTTCCAAACGCAACGTGTTGGTCTGGCACGTGGCACAGTCCTTGGCGCACAACAAGAAACATCGCAATAAAGTAGGGACTGTCTACTGGAAATACGAACGCAATGACAAACGAAAAGCCTGTCTCGTGATCATTCCACCTGTCACCGCCACAAACAACAATAACAACTCCAAACAGAAGAACAAGAACAAGAAGAAACAAAAAGTGGAACCATCCATGATGAAGACACCCAAGTTTCGCATTCAGATACGCTTTGAAATGGAATCCATCGATTGGATTCCACCCATTCGACTCATTCCAAACCGAAACAACATTCCCAACAACAACCACAAAGACGACAACAATGCTGTAACAACACTCGGGAGTCCCTTGTACAATCAGGCACTGCTGGAAGATGCCTACCATGCATTCTTGCCACACCAACACCAACAACAGCGTGCCAATGACAGTGGCGACGGTGATAGTGACAGTGATGACGATGAAGAAGAAGAACACTACCCACATTGGGCACAAGCTGTGGTGTTGCTCAAAATATGGTGTTTGCAACGGGGGCTGCTAAGAGCCCATGATGGATTAGAGACGGATCAACTCGCACTCCTCATACTCTATCTGTACAGAACCAAACAAGCCAATGCCAGAATGGCACCGCTCCAAGTCATGGCCGTCGTATTCAAGTGCTTGGCGCAAACACAGTGGATGGATGATACTATGCATACTTTCAACAACAACAATACACTGCAAGACGAACAAGACAACTTACGACGTCACAGTCCCGGAGAAGCCCTGTCGGCCTATGGGATGGATACCAATCCAAATAAACGCACCACCAAACGGGCCGTGTTGGTCATGCCCGCACACGGCAAGAACGAAGCACAAACCATTGCCATGGCCAAATTGGCCAAACTATATGCCCAACAGACCAAGGAAAATGCCAACAAGGGAGAACCATCCACACTGCTGGAAGTCTATCGGCGACATGCTCCAAGTCCCGTCTTTCTCGATTCGACCATGCGATACAATTACTTTGGGCGGTTGTCGCCATCTTTTATGCAACAAGCCCAATTGGAAGCCGCTCGATCCTTGCAGTATTTACACAGTCCATCCATGATATCTTCCAATAGCAACAATCCATCATCCTCATCTATGATAGTAGAAGATCCCTTTGGATGTCTCTTCATGACACCGGCACGATTCTGGGATAGATTTGATCTCTATTTCCAGATTCCCTTGAAAGCCTTGCGACGGCCCAGTGCCGGTAATACAAAAATGATGAAGAGTGTGTGGTCGCCAGGACAACAAGTCGATTTGGGGGGACCGTTCGAGGCAGCCGCCAGAGCCATTCGGATTGTCCTGCAACGGGCATTGGGAGATCGAGTACGATCCATGCGAATTCTGTCCACGGGAAATGGAACGTCGCAGCAGTCTCATGATGACTCGGATCAATTGCCACTCCACGAAGTTAGCGGCGGCAAATCTGCCAAGTCGACAACCACAACAAACAACGCGTCGCCCATTGGAGACGACAACCTTGTCTTTGGGATTTCGCTCAATGTGGACACTTGTGCTCGGATCGTCGATCGGGGACCACCTCCAGAACAGACAGAGGCAGTACAGGCGTTTGTAGATTTGTGGGGAGACAAAGCGGAGCTACGACGATTCAAGGATGGAGCCATTGTCAAGGCTGTCGTGTGGAACACGACCGATAAGGAACTATCGTCGTCCACGACCGTTCGGTACCAAAATGAGGACACCATCCATGGAGGAATTGTGGAGCGGATTGTCCACTACATGCTTCAGAGGCACTTTCTTTCGTCACTTTCAGCAGGAAAGAAACAAAAGACACAGTCCCAGGAGCTGGTAAAGAGATCGGCACTTCGCGACATGACCAGTTTTATCAGTGGTGTGGTTCCCGACGAAGCTGCAAAGCAAGCAAATGATCCTGCAGCAAGTCCTTGGTTCACCAATCCTGCACACGCTCATCGTTGCGTCATGAAAGCCTTCGAGGCTCTAGCGAGCTTCTTGAAGGAGCATAGCCTGCCCACAGTGCCGGTCCCGGGTTCGTTGGAAGAAAAGACCTCCAGACTGTGTATTCCTTTGGCCATTGACGCCGTGGAGCCCTTGAGTCCATGTCTGAGATACTCCGAGCTATTCCCGCCCATTCCCCACCCTTTCCTTGGCAGTGCCGACGTGAAGGGAATAAAGAAGGCTTCTAGTGTCATTGGGTTTGAACCAGTCTGCATTCAGATTCGCTTTGGCGCGTCTTCGAAATGGCCCACAGACCTGAAAGCCATTGGTGCAGCCAAGACAGCCATGTTGATCCAACTCGCCAATGGAATCGAAGACATGATCTCTGCTGGAAGTCGTGATGGATTTGAGGGGCCCATTGTGGTTACACCGAGCTACTTGGAGCTTGGCTTTCGGGGGTATGCCTTCCGCTTGAAGGTCAGGGCAGACCCTGAGATCCGATTGCTAAGGGGTCTATTCGAACCAAGTACGGAAGCAACGGCCCTGTTAAAGGCATTGACTCGAGAACACATTGTTTCGGCTATGCATCACTCCATGATCCATGCTGTTCACACCAAGCACCCCTCTGCCGGTGGTGTTGTGCGTCTAGCTATGAGATGGTGTGCGGGACACCTGTTTTCCGGTCACATTCCACAGGAAGCCGTGGAGCTGTTGGTGGCGAAGGTTTACACCGATCAAAGCTCACCTTTGGGAGCTCCAGGCTCGGTGGCTGCTGGTTTTCTGCGGTTCTTGCAGCTGCTGGAGTCTCACGACTGGGTTCGGTGAGTACTCCTGGTAGTCACGTAGTTTCCTCAGACCATTCATAGTCGCTCAACTCCTCAACTCTGCTGTTTCTTCCTTTTGCCTTCCCGCTTCGCCAGTCAACCCCTGATTGTGGACCCACACAGTCTTATCGACGACGGAGATAGAGCTGCAATCCATTCTCGTTTTGATCAAGTTCGAGGACCAAACCATGAAAGGGGGCCTCCTCTGTACATCATCTCTCCATGTGATCGTCAAGGTATCGACGACGCTCCGACTCTCGCCGATGTGAACATCGCTACGAAGCCGACAACCAACAACAGCAACCGTCTCAACAAAGAGGGGGCGATCTGGAACCCGAGTTTCACCACCAATGCGCCTGAGAGAGTGATCCTCGCCAGAGCTATTGCATTGGCGCGGAAATCACGAGAATTTCTGGTTTCGAAATTGACTCGGTTTGATACAGTCGGTTGGCACACCGCTTTCCAAGAGTCGGAGGCCTCGTTCAAAAACTATGATGCGCTGCTGCGGGTAGATGCTGACCTCGTCGTCGATGCCGGGTCGTCTTCAAAGTCAATAGAGACTGAGGACTTTGCTGCTGTGTCTGGCACCGAAATCCCTGAGACGGTCTTCACCAAGAGTATCCAGGAAAGGTTCTCGGGACCGAAACGCCTTCGCGTCAAGCTGTACCGGAACATGCGGAACGAAGAAAGCGACCAAGTCTTGTACAGTTTCATGCCGGTGGACGCCCTTGTGGAATCACTGCGAAAGAACTTTGGATCGCTTGCGCTGTTCTTCTACAACAGTCTCTGTCCGGAGGTCATTGGCATTGCTTGGCGTCGTCCGCAAGCTTTTGAGTCGCGTCCGTTTTCTGCAATGAACTCAGAGTATGCACAACCGTGTGTGGCTGTTGGCTGGAAGCAAGACACAATGATGATTCTCAATGCGAGCGACGTCCTCCGAGAAATGCGCCAGTACTTTGAAGGATTGGTTACCACCGTGAAGGTTTTCCGAGCTCCAGTTGTACAGCAACCGCCAAAACATCAGACACAGGCAATCCACGAGAAAAAACGCAAGGTGGAACAGTCCGACGATGACGACGAAAGCTCAGATTCAGACTCGGATTCTGATTCGGACTAAGACTCCACCTACAAATCACAAGCTCGGTCTAAACGTGTAACTGCTGCTGTGGTGGCTGCTCTGAATATATGCATGGCATTGTAGTAGCAGAGTGCAAGGAAAGTTCATCACTAGCCAATTATCAATAGCTGGTTTCTGTACCGTACCAATAGATAGTCAAACGATGGCCAACATGTCGATCATGGTCTGCTTGCCAATTGGAACCTTTGTCTGCAGCGGTACAGTCGTACGGATTTTAAGAGAAAAGAGCATGGAGCATTTTTATTAAGTCTTTTCGAAAGCTTTTATTAAATCTTTCACTCCAATGCGGTTCTTGCGACGGGATACAGCTTACAACTCAGCTTTACAGCTTTACAATTAGCAGGCTTATTCTAGAAAATAATCAATAACTGCTCACTTATTTGGAAATACAAACTTTACATCTCTTAGATCGTTAGATTAATCAATCCACAATGGTATTGTCGCATGGTAGCATGCGAGGTTATGAGATGTTACTCATTCTTATTCTTATATGTCTATCCCTTATGGTTGTCAATGGAATGAGCTATCCCTTGATGCAGAGTCCTGAGTTTCCTCTCATTATCTTCATCGGTAGTCCTTCCCCTTATTGCAACTTAATTCCCTTGGATTCGCTCGCAAGCAATCCCCTTGCCAACATTGTTGTTGTTGATTCGCTCGTAAGCAATCGCAACCATGGACTCCTACAGGAGTCCACCTTTCATCCTGTCGTTGATCGAAATCGCGATGAGGACCTTATTTTAAACAATGGACTCCTATGGGAGTCCACCTTTTTCTCAATCGACGCAGGTACCACTACTGGTACTGCTTCTGTTACTGCTACTACTACTATTGATTCTACTGCTACTACTGTTATCTCTATCACCGGCAAAGCCTTGGCCGATTCCATGCTCAGCTTCAGCATGGATCGATCGATCGGCCGAGTTAACAGAATTCATCGAAAAATGAGCTCCGAATGCGTATATAAGGCTCGGCCTGTGTGTCATGCATTGAGTCATGCTTCGGGAAGGCTGAGCCATGCTTGCCTTATATCTTCGAAGCAAACTCCAACTCCTCACTTTTTCATTCCAAACGTGAAGAACAACAACATCACGAGCGATCGATCGCTCCGTGCAGTTGATGTTGTTGTTCATGTGGCTGTTGGTCGATCGGCAGTTGGTCTCTGTTTACCCAGGACCGGCATTGGTCGTTTGAACTGGCTTGCAGTTGTTGTTGTTGTTGTTCAAGCGAACGATTCGCTTGCAGAAGATTCAAACGACGAGAACTCGCTTGCAGCTGTCGACACCGACACGAAAGATAACAGCTCAACCGATTCGCCGAACTGTTGGAAAGCTCATAAACTCCATCTTCGATTGACTCGATTGACTGGTCCACCGCGTCGCTCTTGCTCCTCCTCTTGTTGCCATTGCCACTGTTGCTCCTGTTGCCGCTCCTCCTATTGTTGCCATTGCCATTGCCCTCTTGTTGATTCTCACTTGATGGACCTTGACGACGCTTCCTCTGCCTCAGCATCCTCATCTTCAACAACAGCAGCGCCAGCATCAGCATCCTTGTTCAGTCCACAAGGCTTCAGACAAGCCTTCTTTGAATCTGATCCAATCATCCCACCATCTGATCCTCCAACCATTACTGCAGCACCATTGACCGCAGTTCAATTCCAGGAGCTCCTCCAGCACATTGGGAAAACCAAAGAGAAGACCAAGCTTACAGAAGCCCCTCGGCTTGAGGTATCAACCACACTGGAGCCTGGGCAGGATCTGGCTCAGATGGACTGGGAAAGGAACCTCAAAGCACCCATGCCTCAGGGGTTTCCATGGTGACGACCTCTGAAACATCACACCACACTCCAGCCTATCGAATTGGCATGCAAGAAAGGACTGAAGGATTCCCCATCTACTATTCTCCACTCTGACTTAGTCCAATGCTTCTGGGTCTCATGTGCAGCCTCTCTTATCGCCTTTGAGAGTATTATGACAGAGCATGGAATGGAAGGGGTCTTCCAGCTTGTTGTTGGAACCTTAATACTAACACTATTAGTAAAATCAACATGTTCACTGCTCCTGGACAGGTTCAGAGTCTATGATGGAAAAATGGCATCAGGACCTCACAGTCAATGGGGTCGACTCATCGATGCCAATGGGGATCTGCAGCAACATCCTGTTTGCCAGTATGATCTAACCAACCTTGCTGGTCGGGAAAGGCTGTCTTGAACTCTTGACTGATGCACTCCAGGAAGAATTGAAATCATATGTCCCTCGAGCCAAGCACAATGGGCCCCAGCTTCTCTTGGCTCTTCTGCAGAAGATATACCGACCTTCTCTCAGCAAGATTGAGAACCCTCAAAGCAAAGCTTCTTCACTTGGACATCACCAAGTTCCCTGGGGAAATTGTTCCATGTATGTTGTCGATGCAGCAAGTCATCAAAGAGATCCGATTGAACTTTATGTCAGTGATCCCATGCCGAACTAACCAGCACATCCCTGAGGGGTCTCCTTGGCTGTGGTTGTCCATACTTTCGATCTCAAAGTCCATGAGCTTGTTGTCAAGAGTGACATCAACGGATTTGATAGCAACTATGGGAACAAACAATTGGAAGCACTCGACATTTGAATGACTTGGATGCCCTCTATCGGGTCCTCATCAACCAGAAAACTTATGAGCCTGCCCAACATCTTGGATCCAAGGGATCCCAGGCCAAAGCTTCCAGGCAGCAATTGACAAGCAGTTGAGGCAAAAGTTGAGAGTCTCACCCAGGATCGAAACAGTGGTCAGCCAGTGGCGGTACCCGTCCTCGTGGAGGCGCCTGCTTTGATTGTGGAGCTACTGATCATCATGAAACGATCCAGCATGTCCCAAGCGAGGTGCTCCCAAGGACAACGGTCTGAGTGCTGAAACCAACTCCAAACTCACAACTCTTATCAAAGACAAGCTTGCTTCCATGCCTCCAAGGGAGAACATTCCCGATGATGCCCAACCACACCATTTCTGTTGATGGGAGGTGGTTGCTAAATACTGTCGCAACTGTGGAAGGTTCTCCAAAGGCACCAGTGCTCATTTCACCAGTGAACATCGTGGGTTCCGCAAGTTTCCTTACAAGGCACCTCTTCTGGTGGCAACACTACTCCACCACCAGCTGCTCCAGCTTGGCTCCAATCACTGCTGGGGCAACCTTGCTTCTTCCACCATGGGATTTCCTATGTCCGCTGCTGATGTCCTGTTCTAGCCACTGATGATTTATACCGCCAGTCCCAATGTTGGGTTTGATTTTGATTCCATGCAGCAGTAGATCTCAGTCTGATGAGACCTCCGCTCTTTCAGCTACCTCAATGGGGCTTTCATGTGATGCTTCGGCAGAATAACACACTTGGCAACAGTGTTTCATTGCCTATTTTTTGCCCCATTTGTGCCCTTCTATCTCGGGTCTATTCCTTCTCATGTATTGGAGGGAGAAGATGAGTCTGCTATGCAGACATTATCAAATACACTTCGAATTCCAGCCCTGATTCTGGAGGGAGACCTTTCTTCAGTCTCCCACAAAATGGCTGTGTTGTCTCTGCTCCCATATCTTTCCCACCATATCCTCATTGGACTAGTCTCCGGGTGCGGATGTTGTTTGTCTTTCTTGGTTTTACAACTTGCTTCTAAAGTTCAAAGGTTATACCATCTTCAGTGGCTCTCTTGCATCACCAAACTTGTTCTTCCACGCTTCAATCGGCCAAAACATTTTGATCCCGATCCAGACCCAGACTCATACTTGTCAATTCCCAAAATGATTCTTCGGACTGTGTACACCGATGTCTCTTCTTAAAGCATAATTAACTCTTAAGGACACCTATGTCGTCTCTTCTCAACCCCCAACTCCAACCAGGCTTCCTCGCAAATGTCGGGCCAACAGAACCCTGTCGAGATACAAGCTGAGGCCTCCTTGGAGTCATTGGGGAACTCAGTCGCTGGGCACAGTCATTCCAGCTCTCCAGTATCTTGCCTTTAGAAAAAGCTTCGAAGCTATCGATCAATGCAGGAGAACTGAAGACACACAGTCTCACGGCACCACATGCTGGCCTCCAACACCATCCAATCCTCTAATGAATCCTTTGCACAAGTCACTTCTTATTGCCCATATTCTTCAGTGCTATTGTTGATAGTGGATGTTCCTATTCTGCACCAATACTTTCAGTGATGTTGACCCAAATTCTATCAGAAAGCTTTCCGAACCAATTATCCTAGGAGGTATCGCTGGAGGTCTGAGCATTGAGTACATCGGCACTACTGATTGGGAGACTTTGGATGAGCAAGCAAATGTTGTGTCATTTCGGGAGCAGGTTCTTATTCATCCTGATCTTCCAAACAGACTCCTAAGCCCTCAAGCTTTCTTGTCCCATCAAGGACTTGACCAAAAACATGCAAAACTCAGCGATCACTTCAGAGTCTACCACGACCATGCTGAATGGCATACGGGAGGAAAGAAAATGCTACAAATGAAGTTTGACTCCAGTTTTCTACACGACTTACTCTGTTCCCAAAGGAAAGGCACTCTCTTCTCTACAAGCAATGACTTCAGTTCTACTACCAACAACCGGAAACCTTTCTATTTTTGACAAAAATCTGGCTGCAATGGCATTACAAGTGGGACATCTGTCCTTCTCCCATTGACCAATCTCTTGGGTTGGTGTGTTTCTTAGACAAGAAGGGTCTCGGTTTGCTTAGAAGCAAGGTCGGGGAGCATCCTAAATGTGCCGCTTGTCAATATGGAAAACAAGTCAGGCAACATGATCACACCACTGTCACCCAAGAAGCTCCAGACCACAGAGGGAAAGGGAGCGCTAAGAAAGAACAATTGGAGCCGGGTATGACAACCTTTGTGATCAATTGGAGTCAAGAGTCAGAGGGATTGTTGCACACTGCCGGAAGGGAACAAGATAGCCATAAATTCTGTGGAATCCTCTATATTTTGTTGAGTTTTTTTTTTTAGCTGCAGCGGCTTGCCATTTTTGCCCACCACCAATGTTACAATTGAATGCTTCTGTTTCATGCCAAGAAGATACCAGTCCTGTCAACTACAAACATGGGGGGTCTTTTGGGTTTGGTTTCTTCATCTCATCTGACAATGGATCTACAAAGCCAGCATATGGTCCAAATCTTAGGGACCACCATCAATCAATTAAAAATTCTGCGACCGGTGCCAATAAGGCAGAATGGGGTTCTGTAGGGAGCCATTAGAATGTGTAACCAAAGCTGAACAATTTGATGATCCATGATTTGGGAAAATTGCAATTTCTATGTGGCCTGTGGAAGTTGATGATTGATATCCCTTTGGCCCTTGGAAGTCTCTCATGCATCTAACTTTTACAACCACACTCCGAATTTCAGTTACTAG